TGATCCAACATTTGATGATCGTTTTCTTTCCCCTTCTTTCTTTGATCGGGAAACTGCATTGGATCACATTCGCCATGCACGCGCTACTTCTACACCCGATGATTTATGGATCTTTACAGATGGGTCACTCCGCAATGATACACAGCTTCATATAGATCATTGTGGCTTATCTGTAGTCTTCTTCCATGGCACAGACTCAGTTGGTCACTCCATTGCTGCTCGATTCACAGGGCATCATTCCAGTGCTCACGCGGAATTGATTGCCCTTTTCTTGGCTTGTCATCATGCCCCATACACCGGCACATTTAACCGGTGTACGATTGCCTGTGATTCCACAGCTGCTCTACAGGCCATCCAGTGTCGACAAGGCGGCAAGGAATTAGCGGTCATTACCCGGCGCGCCTTGTTGAACCTACACGCTCAGATACCGATTGTACGTTTGTGGTGGATCTCTGGTCACATTGACATCACTGAGCATGACCAGGCAGATACCATTGCTCGGAATGTAGCTAACGACCATGATTTGTTTGAGGTCCTCCCTGTTCCCCATTCCCACAGAACTATCAGGACCTCTATCAGACGCTACTATGCCTCTCGTTTGGAGGCATTGTGGGATATCTCCCCACATGGCCGTCAGCTATACGATGTTATGCCTCAGTTCTCTCGATCCTTGAGTTGGACTGAGGGTCTTTCCCGCAATGATGTATCTACAGTGGCTCAATTTCTGACGGGCCACTACCCCACAAACCAGTATTTACATCGGTTCCATATTATCAATGACTCACAGTGCACATGGTGTCACTCCCCCATAGATGACAGAGATCACAGACTATTCCATTGTCCCCATTTTGCACTTCTGCGGCAGCAGCTGGCCAGTGAGATCCGTGACTTGACACGTGGACAGCATGATTGGAGTTGGGCTTATCTTGCAGGCTCGGGACGCCCATTCTTGGCTCGTTTCCTGAGGGCTTTTCGAAGGACCACTACGCATTGATTGCTTGATCTTTCCCATTGAGAGAGGCTATTGTTTGTCGATCCTGGGAAAGTTCGACGCTGGAAGTCAGACAGGGCATGGGATATGGGACATTGTGGCACACTCCGGGAGACTTTGGGACAGCTTGGGACAACTTGGGACATCTTGGGACATTCTGGGATATTTGGGACATGACCTGATACATTCTCCTCCTGACTGAACATTCTGCCCTGCTGCTTGGGACTCCCCTGCAGGAACATTCTGGCCTCTACGAACAATGCTGGCATCTTGCTCTCTTTTTGTTTGGGATCCTACATCGGCTCCTGCTGGAAAAGGATCCTACTCTACTTTGAGAGTTGCCGGGGAGTTCCCTCGTTTTCACACATCTGTAATACATTTGGAATTAAAATATATATATATATATATATATCATCTTTTCATTGCATGGAAAAGAGTCTTAGATACACTTGCCTAGGCGGTGGTGCCCTGTCTACGGACTGTTCCTCTTTCTCTTGTGTAACAGTCTTACACCCCACGCCCACCCCGCACCCCCCTTCCGTAGCGTCGATTCTTATGTCGATGCAAGGATGACTGAGCAGCATTATATGAATACGATATCCAAGTTTTAGGCTTTGGGGAAAAATGGTCAAAATTGTAATAGTTTCCCTGGGTTGAGAAATGGGATTCCAGCTGTCATTATGGGCAAGGCGGGGAGCCTTAATCGTTGTATGTTGATCCATTTTAGAGCATTTTCTGAGCATCGAACTTTTCCAGGTGGTTTGAGAGCAGATCTTGAGATGCTTCCAGCTGATCCGCGGCGCTTTGGGGTATTTTTCCTCTTTATGTCGATCTTTTCGCAATTAAGTAATCCCTAAATTAATTTAATTTAATCTTACCATCAATTTGACGCCAACCGTAAAAAATTCGACATAGTATCTTCCCTTAAAATGGCGGCTGTGTGTGTTTCTCTCCATCGTCAATTTTGGGGAACCTGCGATATGCTCCACTGCAACGTGCCAAAATTTAATTGATACTCACCGAGGAAATGCTGCCTGAATCGAGAGGTCTTCGGCCATTAGAAATTTTCAACAAATTAATTGAACAATCGTTGACTGATCAATTGAACACCGTCTCTCATAATGGTATTGACGAAGGCAGGCAGGGTCGAGGGGTGGCAATCCCTGAACGGGAATTGTAAGCTCGAGTCCACGGCAACGGTTTACAGCCGAGGCAAAAGGACAACAGACGTTCTGTCCTTTATACCCAGTCCGTTCATCAACATCCCTAATGCAATCCTTAGTGCTTCGTCATCTTTTCATACATTCAGTTATTAATAACACTCAATCAGTTCTAGCCGTAACAGTATCTCTTGTAAGAGGTATCAATTGAATACCATACCTTGTAGGAGCTTGTATGGGGTGCGGGAACCTTCCAATAACATTCTGAATCCCGTCGCACATGGCAATTAAAGTGTAGGTACAACTTCAGAGGCCACGGCTATTTTATCGTGGAGTTGATGGTTGTGATTGTAGGGCGATTAGCGGAGTGTTCCGCGGCAGCAATAAAGCACGTCCTTGACGCGCCAGGATGGCGCCAAAAGTTTTAACTGTACCTTTTGATTATGGTGTGGCTTTTTGCTTCTGATCCGTACGTGGAGCCGACATTATCTGTTTTCTCATACTGTGATTAAAATTCTCCCCATGGAAGTAATGGGTAAATTGTGTATTGAGTACAATGAAACATAGGCACTGCCAGTTTACGTGACGGAAACGCTGTTGAATCCCAGCTGGCGCACTGTTAGGTGCGCCGGTTGTCGATATAGCAAGAAGGCTAGGACCGATAAAGCATCAGAAATTGCGGTTGGATTTTGAGTCTCCCTAATTTGCTTCAACACAAGTTTCAGCCATGTTTCACTCATGTGCGTAATTCGCGTTTGGAAATTGTGTCCATAGGTGGAAGCCCAGACACGGATGTGATGGAACCACCGCCGACGATGATATCCTTGTCTCACTGCCAGTGGCAGTGGTATAGGTGGCAGTGGCAGTGGTATAGGTGGCAGTGGCAGTGGTATAGGTGGCACCTATAAATTGTGGGAGAGCAATGCAAAGTGGGAAGTAGACTCAAAAGATCATTGGCGTTGGGCTGCAGCAACGTGGGTAATGCCCGCGGCAAGCTCCGCAGTGGCGCTACTTCCGCCGTTCATGCATCGAACAACATGTCTAATGTTCTCAGTGTATTATAATACATTATTCTCGTTAATTAACGAGAATGCCGGAAACGTCTGCACAATTCCTGGTGGTGCCGACTGTGGACGAGTGGCCAGTTTTGTTTTCATCATGGAGACAACGCATCGCGACTCCGACATAGTGACGTTACAGTTTGCGCATGCACGTGAAACCAAACACACAATCTGATCGAGTTATGTCCTGTCAAGTCTTGATTTTGTTTACAAAGCAGAATCGCAGTTTGCAAAACAGGCGACGTAAGTTTGAAAACCCCCCAGAATGACAAGCCAATGGCAGAAATACAACAGATTACCATACAAGACCCCGAAGTTCTTTGTCCTGAAACTCTTGTGCATTCCCTCATATATTTCTACATTCCCTCATTCGGATGCTGGAACGTTGTACACGTTGCTATGTGGGGAAAAGCCGGATTTGTGAACTGGAATTCGTGTAGCGGTGAGCTTATTGCGGTCTCTGGGAGCCGTGAGCTGAAACCAGCTCTCGGAGCGGAAAAAATTCGTGCTAATAGACAGCCCGAGTCTCCCTGGGGCGTCTCTTAGCATGGCCGTGCAGGATCATTTGAGTTGCGATTCTTTGCGACCAATCACGATGATGAGCATTTGAGAGCCGCGTTGATTCCACACCTCACACCAACATTCACGTGCCCAGAGTTTCGTCGATTCAACATGGCGAGGCGAAAAATCCAGACCATTTGGCCAGTCCCAACTTTTGGCCGAGCGTGCTCTGGAGTCTATAGAACAGCGTCAGAGCGGGTGGCCGCCTCAGATGCCAAGGCGATGACGAAGGCAGGCAGGGCAACCCCTGACTGGGGACCACAGGCTCGGGAACATGGCAACGGTTTACAGCGGAGCAAAAGGACAACAGGAATCCTGTCCCTTATATCCGGTCCGTTCATCAATGTCCCTAATGCAATTGCTAATGCCTCGTCATCTCCTGATTCGTCCCCCATCAGTTCTAGCCACCACCGCGCAAATTGCCTTCCACCGCCGACACCACCCAATCACAGCCCGCCGCCTCTGAGCAATACAATTGCCGTGGGCCGCGCAGGCCGCCTTGCCGATCCCGATCCCCTCTCCGCGACAGCTCGACATCCACACTGGCGCACTCAGTACACGTCGATTTCGGCATCCCGCACAAGTGAGCCCAGGCAACTTCAGCATCGGTGCCCACCCAGGAACCGCAGGCGCCTCGTAGCCCGTCCAGCGCGACCGATCACCGGCTGCAGTCGCGCATGCCGTGCCAACGCGGGCGCCTTCGAAGCTTACCAAGTTACTGAAAGCGGTGCGCCTCTGGCATATCCGTCCAGCGCGCTAGGGCACCCGCCTTCCCACAGGTCGTCACTGGCCCACGGCCACGCCGGGTACATACAGATACATTGCTGCACAGCGGCCGCCCAGCCGCCGTCTTGGCGGTGCTCCCGCCCAAGGTAGGCGCAGGCGCCCCGCGGGCGCGTCCGCCGTTGCGGAAAAGCTGTGCCGCGCCCCGCGATGCCCATTGACAACCTGCATGATGAGGGCATGGTGCCCGGTGGGGCAGGGGATTTTGCGGGACTCCAGCCGCGATGCCGATCTGCCGCCAGCCTGTGGGCGATGGCCGATAGGGGCCCGTGACGCGGGGGCGCGGGGACGCGATCTGGCCTCCGTGGCGGGACGCGCCCCTCGACATCGACATCGAAAGCGATCCATGGGCTGACCGCTGTCAGATGTGACCTCGGCATCGTCTGCAAGTAGGCGACCAATTTGTCCGGTGCGTGAAGCGGAGCGACGCCGTGCTTTGCGCAGATGCGCCTTCGCTTGGGATGTGCCAGGACGGCCGCGGCGCTGCTGTGGTGCGCCGCGTTCTGGCTGGGATTCGCGCAGATAGCGGGCGAGGACGAGGGGGAAAAGGAGCAAGGCGGAGACGAGGGCGAGGTGGCCGGTCAGGGGTCCTCTGCCACGGCGCTGGGGCAAGTTGACGGCGAGGAGGACGGCGGTGGCGGACGCGGGCTGGCCGAACGCGTGGGAGGGGCTGCGGTCCTAGCGTGAGTGCCAAGTCTGGAGAAAGTTTGACTAGGTTCCCTATTTTAAACAGGTTTGACCTAGTCCAAATTAAGTTTCAATCGGGTCCGCACTCAGCGGAGGGCCCTTCACTGGTTGCCCCCGGGGAAACATGGTCCAAATTGGGGTCCAGCCTGGTCCAGCCGTATGGAGATTCGACACAGTCCAAATCGAGTGACGGTCCAGTCCAGCTACGTGGAGCGCAGATGGTTGGCGCCCATCATTTCAGAAGATGAAGGTCATGGTGGTCTTTTGAGCAACCTTTTTGTAGGTTTTAGTGTGTGTTTGGTTTTAGAGTTTGGATTTCTTGTTTGTAGCTTCGAACCACAAGTTGGACAAGGTTGAACAAGATTTTCCCCTCACTGAGTGTGGGTTAGGTTGAACCTCAATTTGGACCAGGTTTGACCACTACACCCAAAATCTGGGCATTTCATCCTCTTTGGGGGTCGAGGCTGCCAAAGAACCTTGCAAATGCGTTCCAAAGCACGATTTAAGAGCCTGCCTAAATTGGCAGAAAATCGGGTGCTGGTCAGGGTGCCATGCACTAAGGGGGAAGCAAATCGTGCCTTCCTGATTGATGATTTTTTTTGGCGGTGTTTTGTCGCCCGAACTTCAGTCTTGCAGCGCTTGCTTTGAGTCTGAAAAAAAGAACTTCCCTGGTATGCCGTGCACACCAGTTTGCAGTGCCTGAGGCAAAAGTGTTGTCGCCGCTCACGTACAGGCACTGTCCGCGCTTAACTAGTGTCCAATGACCGAAATACTGGGTGCAGTTAGAGCATTGCAACTTGCGATAGCGAACCTGTATAAGCTGAAGGTGATTTCGCTATCGTGATAGGTGCCACGGTTTGCAGTGTATGCTGGCAGCATTTCCTTAAATGAGTGGCCATGCATTCTTGGCTACGTTTGGCACGCCGACATGACAGCTCGCCCGTGTGTTCTGCGGTGCTTCAGGGTCATCATCGCCATCTCTATTGTGTTTTCGTTATATTGTTGCATGTGTTGCATACGTTGCACGGATTCCTTGGTCTCCGGTGGCATGGCCAGAATCCACCGACCAAGGCTTCGTTCCCTGCGCAAAGTGCAGGACTCGGGCACAGAGGACACCTCCAACAGGGGAGAGACAAATGAAAACGATCGCGTTGACAAAGCTGAGAATCTGGTGTGACTTTAGGCCAGGAACAGGGAACTATTTGCTGCGGTTTGTCTTCTCTGTGCTCTTCTTTGGACGCTGTCCTGTGTTTATTGAAAGCTTTTTGGGTGATCCTTTATGTGGGAGTTTTTTCATTGGATAGCAAATCAGTGCGTTGAATTGACGAGTGAAATTAGGAATTCACGTCGAAAAACTCCAATCCGCGGGTATCTGATCCAGTGCATCAAGAAAAATCAAGCTGCACATCATGACCTGACAGACGGAATGTAATGGCGGCAATTGCTGTGTCATGCTGGTGCGGGAGAGGCTATTTTTTCCTTCTGTACATTTTGGCAATGATGTTATTGGTAAATGGTCGAGAGACGTGGGCAGAATATACTCAGAGACACAAAAGTGTACACGAAAGAGAAATGGTCAATGGCTGTTCATTGGAGTAATAAAAATGCAAAAGGGATCGACATTGATGGGACCGAAATAACTGTTCCAGAAACAATAAACTTAGGTTGAAATAGAATATGCTTAAATATACAAAATGATTTTTTTTGGCAATTTTCATTTACTGCCTAGCAACGCAATGAACACTTCCCGTATTCGGAATTAAATCACCACTTCGTCCCTTGACCACTGTTGTGTCGAGGACTTTTTATCTTTTCTAAACCATCGGGTCAGAGAGCTGCATGAAGAGCAGTAACCGCACAAGTTTGCCGCAACAGTTTGCAGAGAGCCGAAGATTCAATCAACTTGGCAGCGCATCGAAAGCCGCCCGACTCACCAGAGTTTGGCTCATCCCATGGTTTGCCGAGACCGCCGAAATCAAGAAGTTACGCCAATATTTTGAAGTACTTGTGCGGTATCCATCCCTGAATCTCTTGCCACAACAATCAAAGATTCCATGAGATAGTCTCCACTCCAACACTTCAGCTTAACATAGGTTCAAAACTTGGCCCGTTGTGATCACAAATAGTACTGCGTCTCGTCTTTGCTGACAGCAAAAAAATTAAACCGGTCACCGATTTCAGCCACCAACAGGCCTCGCGTGAGCCAGCTTCTTCATTCTCACGCACTTATGTTGGCTGCGTTCAGAATAACAGTTGGAAATCTTCTCTCTGCTATTTCTGAAGACGGATATGGCCGGAAGCGGCTTTCGCGGTGCTTCCCCTATCATGTGCCCCCCAATCACAGTATGATATGAGCACTCATCGCCATGCCAATCCTCGAAAATTCGTATTTACTAGCGATGCCAAACTTGGTGCTCCTGGGTACCTCGACCAATTAGTGAAATTATTGGTGCCAACTCATCTGCTTGATGGTTTTGCGCATACATGTCTGACCAAATGCAACACAACTGTGAGGGCGAAATCCATCATTCGATTTGCCTGATTTTTCGGTATTTGTGGAAATAAGTTACATATGCGCATGTAATTTTCGCCACAACCATCATACGCTTTCTTCATGAAGAAATTATGATTATCATCTATGTATTGAGGCGCTCCAACACCATAAAAGTAAACATATGCACCCGCTGGTATTTCAGTGTTTCCGATGCCGTTTGCATCATCAGTGATATCTCCTGCCTCCTTCCCGTGAAGACTCGAAGCTACAATTCAGACAATAAAGGCATTGTACCGCTCACAATGTTGGCCTTTGCAGCTACGCCACCATTTCGGTTTGCGAATTTTGCACTCCAAAACGGGTAAACACACAGCCGGCTATATTGCGTACAATTAAGGCTCGTTGAGGAGTGATGAAGTCGCAAACAAAGACCGGTTCTTCGTCCCCTCGAGCACCCGAAACACAGAGCCCACCTCACCCTTGGCAGAGCAACAACGTCGCCCAACAAAAGGTCGTTATCTGCCCACTCCAGTGCGTCTGATTGCCACTCCGGGCTTCCGCAAAAAGCCTTTACTTACGTCGTTTTACCCGGTCTTACGCTTAAAACACTAGGGAAAAACAGGCCAGATGACACAGTCCTGACACGGTCTGCTCAAAATCCAACCGTGTACTTTCGGCAAATGTGGTCCCAAAAGTACACAGTTATTACACACATTGACACAGTTTCAACCGTGTACCTTCAAACAACTGTGTAGACTACACGGTTTCCTAGGATGCATGGTTGAAACTGTGTCAATGTGTGTAATAACTGTGTACTTTTGGGACCACATTTGCCGAAAGTACACGGTTGGATTTTGAGCAGACCGTGTCAGGACTGTGTCATCTGGCCTGTTTTTTCCTAGTGAAAGCTTATGTATTATTCTACACGTATATGTCTAAATACACGCTATGTGCGCACCGCAAACACCAAGCTTGCAGTGTATTTGCGATGCTTGCAAGCCTTCTTGATCCAGCGCACCGGCGGTGTGCATGAAATGCTTTTGTCGAGGTCAGTTGCTGATGCATTATTTACACTTACATTTTCCATGCCTGACACGACATGATTCCTATGTGCCAGAAGTCCATTGCTGTTTGCTTGGTGTACAACATACATACATGGTGTGCATACATGTATCGCTCTTCCGAGATAACAAAATTTGTGTTTCGAAGAAACAATACTAATGGCGTGCTGAATGGGATACAAACACACATGAGCCGAAGGGCTCACCGACCTATGAGTTCGGTAGCTACATCGCACTACCAACGTGCGCTGTTGCGGACGAAGAAGCTCGTGCATATGTTGCATTCTCACCTGCCGTGGCAGTGGGCTCCGCGGGGGCGCCGTTGTCGCATGTGCTGGTTACTTCTCCTGCATCTGTAAAATCTGGGAAAGCACACGCGGTACTCGGGCTCGCATCTTGCGCTCGGGTGGAGGTTGCAGCTTGCAAACCTCCAAGGACCGGAGCAGGTGATTCTGGAGATCGGAGCTACCGCAGGGCAATCTGCACATGCACCAGGAAGGTCCTCTTCCAAAGACAAGGAGTATTAGTGTTCACGCTAAGTGGGGCATGCATCGGGTTAGTGGTCACTCATCCACTGACCTGTCCAGGGTAAATCTCTGCCACAACAAAAAGCGCATAAAATCGTCGAATGGGTCAAGGGTAATGGAGTCCATTCACAGAACTATCACAGCGCCAACATTTTGTGCAATCGCTAAAAATTGTGACATTTTTGTATTGTCCGCGAAATGATCGCGTCAATGAAGTTAATGATTCAAATGGATCTGAAGTAGTACGGAATCAAAAGTTTCTCTAAAAATCGTCTTGGTTCATGGACCAGCAAATGTGAACGCTCAGACATAGTACGCAAGAAGGGCGGCGCTTCCATGTTCACGACTAACCTGATGAGGCCTTCTATTGCTGTCGCTTTGATGAGGACGCATAAAAAGTAAGGTACAAGTGGCACTGGAACTCGATAGCCGAATAGAACTCAATACTGAGCACCAAATCACCAACGCGCTGTATTGGAAGTGCATGGACATGCACACATTATGTGGCATACATTGAGTCAGAATGTATTCGTCTCATCATGATGAGACGACGAGACACGCTGTGATCACAGCGGGGGCAATGGCAATATTTCACCAGCTACGAGTTTACAATCATGGAGTTATTTGCAAGCACGCACTACACGTTAAACATTTGGCTGTCATTGTTGCTGGGATTACCTCGAAAATCAAACCATACAAACAGGCAAACCCATCAGAGCAAAATGGGTACCTGCAAATCTTGTAACTGCAAACTGTAATAAGTAATCGCTTCATGTCTTGAAACACACGCGGAATCGAAGTGGTAATGCGCCGCGATGCTGGAAAGATTGAGTCCGCCCATGAGTTCTACAATTAATACCGGAGGTTAATGTGATCTAGATATCACATAATGGGTGACAATCACTTTGGGCGCC